TTAAATAATCCAAAATCAAAAACTATTTTATATATTAAATGTATCGATTACAGATTAAAAAGCTAACAACCACCCATTATAAGATCATCATCCAAACACATAATAAAAACTAATTTGGTAAAATAAATAAATGTGTAAAAGATTTATCAATTTTATATAATTTTATTTTTTGTGGGTAGAAATAATTTTTAAAAATTCAAAAATATTTTGTTTGACATTTATTTTTATCAAATTAGTTTATATTTTATCAAATTAACGATTTTACTCTTGAAATTGAGCAATGATATTTTCAATTGTCTTTATTTGGGACAAGATTTGAAATTTAAGGTCAAATGTGTCACAATTGAAAAGTCAAGAACCAAAATGACACCAATTCTAAATTATAGAGACTGTTAGTATAATTCATCCTCTACATTTATTATATTTTTTATATCACATTTAATGTATTATCTCGTTGATACATCATACCTTCATAACACAACTATTAATGTAATGTATACCACATGAACTCTACTAAAATCTAAAGATAAATGTGGTCTGAAAAGATGATTATTGTAGAATTATTACCTTGTGTGTGAGTGATTTTCTGACCACACTGCCCGCTTAGTAACCAGCTGGAGAGCAACGGCAGAATAGATGGCACCTGGCTGACCTGCAACAGAAGGAGAAGATTCCGGCAGTGGTTCGTTCACCCGGGGGCACTCTGACGATCAAGTCAGTATATCTCTCAAAGACAAATTCAGTGTTAAACTCACAAGCTTGAGTATTAAAAGCATACCTTAGACCCATGGGGTTGCCTTTCTTTTATAGCCAACATAAACCTAATCCCAATAGAATCCTAACTTCTATGGACTCAGGATTACAGCTAATCTTGGACTCCCAGTAAGATTAGGATAAACTCTCTAAGAGTCTTATCTTAATACAAACTAAAGTCTTTTCTCATTCTAGGACTCTTGCCCCTCATTCGCTTATCTCGGATTCCGATATCTTCGGAGGTAACCTCGGCCTATTCGAGATGACCTTAGCACAACAACCAGAACACGTGGCACCTCGACTGACACATCGGCGTCACCTTGGCCACGTGTTGGTATTCAGAAAATATATCCCCACAACTGCCCCCTAGGTTCTATTACCTCGGCATCAAAGCATTCTGAGGTGATGGAACCTACACTGTTTGTTCATCTGTGCCCCTCTGTCCGAGATCAAACTTGCCGACCTCAAAGTTCCCTGGATTTTACTGTCCACTTCTGTCAAGTATCAAGCTTCGTGGTTTCCAAGCTGCTCGAGATCATACCTCCTAGCCGAGGTTTTTGTTCAATTAATTCGTAAACTCCAAAAGCTTTGAAACTATTACATTCACATTCTTCGGTGGGTTCCCGACTTCTAGTCATCTATTTGACTCCAGCGATCTTTATATCGGCGTTCATTTCTCTTGGTAGGTTCATAAACTCTTTTATTAAGCTTAATCTTTCATTACTCTTCTGAATCCGTTTACTTGCCCTCTGTTGTCTTCTATTTTCGTCTGTTTTCAAATTTTGAATTGTTTGAACGCCTAGCACTGTTCTTGCCATATCCGCTTTCTGTTGCTAGCATCGCGTCTGGGTCATTACTTTCTTGTTCTTCACATACTTACTTAGTGCCTGCGCAATTGGCTTTATTCTTGAACTTTGTCGTCTTCTTGACTCTGATTTTTCTCTTTTGTCATTCAATCCTCTGGCTTTTTCTCTTTCTAGCTCTTTTGCTTAAATCCGTCATTGTTCCAAGCTTTCAAGCTCTGCAACTGTTTTTGTTCCTCTCCTCCGGTGAAGCTTACGTCATTCTGTCATTTTCCCATCCGTCGTCAGACTTCGGCAATTCTCAGTCCGGCTTCCCTCTTTCTGGTAAGCCACTGTTCCTCCTGGTTTTATTTCTTGTTGCTTTCCAAGAAACTCTGCTTCATTGTTAATCACCATTGCTATTTTACCCGTTGTTTCCAAATCATCTTCTTGAATACACACTGTTCACACATCTGTTGATTTCTGCTACTGTTCTTGGCTTGACACACCTGTGCAATCTTTTTGTCTTGATTTCCTAATAGCTTCATCACCATTCTTGATTATGAATTACATTATTGTTTCTGTTTTCTGTGTCTTTTTCCAAATTCTTGCTTTAAAACTCCGAGGTGCCAATCGCCGAAAAGAGCTTTGATCAAACTTTTCGGGAGATCGATGCTGAGCTCGAGGCCGAGAAGGCTGCTGAGAAGTTTTCCCAACTATCTTCTATATCCTGCCATTGATGCCGAGTAGTTTTGTTTCCTTCTTTTACTCCTTGTACCTTGTACCTTGTACTTTGTCCTTCTCTGTATGCTTTTAATCCGGCCAACGTGCCATTTTTGTAGTCTGAATAATTTATTTTTCAATATTCAGGCTGAAGTGCCTTCTTTCTTCTTTAAAGACATTTCTCTAATTTCTTCTTTGAATGAATGTCTTCTTTTTTCTGCTCTTGTATGATTCTACACTTAGAATAATTTGCATGTCTTCAAAGTACACCTTGACTGTGCAATCTCTTCGGGTAAAATACCTCTGTCACAACTTCTAATCTTGCTCATCTCGGCCTTGTCCTAACACTTGAAAATATTGTAACAAATATTTTCACAAGTGTTGCTTAGTACTTGTCACTTTCTCAATGTCTTCTATCAAGACTCCAGTTTTCCATATTTCAAGTTTTGACAACCTGGTAGTCTCGACAAGTACGCAGATATTGCTTGAGCTTGACTTTAACTTGTAAATTTTTCTCAAAAATTTCAACAAGTGTTTTAACCATCATCCGTTATCATAACTTCGGCTTAACTTCAGCTTGTAAATTTTTCTCAAAATTTCAACAAGTGTTAAACCATCTTCCTTTCGATACGACCACAGTTTAACTATAACTTGTAAATTCATATAGAATTTCAACAAGTGTTTAAACCAATCTTTTTCCGATTCGACCTCGGTTTAACTTCAACTTGTAAATTCACACAGAATTTCAACGAGTGGTAAACATCATATCGGTTTAACCAACTTGTAAATTGTTACAAATTTCAACAAGTGATAAACATCATATTGATTTAACCAACTTGTAAATTGCTACAAATTTCAACAAGTGGTAAACATATTCTTCTTTTCTCTGCCCCCTGCATGGCTTCCACATACTCCTTTGAAAACCTTATAAAAGGTCTTCAACCTGGCTAACTGCAGTCCAACCTTGTGTGTTTTCTTTTTTTATCTTCTGGGATCTGAGATCTGCTCACTGAGCTTTTCTCTTCTCGGACTTAAGTGCCGAGATCTTGTCTGCTAGAATCTTGGATTTGGTCACTCAGGTTGAGCTCTTCTCTTCTCGGACCTACTTATCTAGGCCAAGATCATGTCTTCTAGGATCCGAGATCCAGGATCTGGAATCCGGGATCTGCTAACTTAGGATGAGTTCTTCTATACTTGAATATTATCTCTTTGGGAGCGTTCATGCCCCCTATCTTTGCATCCCTTCTGGAAGGGTCTTCGTTCCTCCGCAGGTATCTATCCTTCCATACCTGGAAGTCATCTTCGTTGTAGTATCCGCTTCGATCTGTTGTCTTTGGGGCGTCACCTTTCTGGCCGGCGTCTTTCACTCCGTGACTCTGGTCACGAGTTTATGTATTGTGGTCGTCCCCTTTAACGTCGAGGTTGATAGGTCTCCCACTTCCAGCAGGAGTGTTGTTTCCAATCTGATCCTTCTGTCCGTCATTGGCCATCTATTCTTCTTTCTTTCATTGGCCATCTATTTTTCTTTCTTTCCCACAGACGGCGCCAAATTGTGTGAGTGATTTTTTGACCACACTGCCCGCTTAGTAACCAGCTGGAGAGCACTGGCAGAATAGATGACACCTGGCTGACCTGCAACAGAAAGAGAAGATTCCGGCGGTGGTTCGTCTATCCGAGGGCACTCTGACGATCAAGTCAGTATATCTCTCAAAGATAAATCAAGTGCTAAAATCATAAGCTTGAGTATCAAAAGCATACCTTAGACCCATGGGGGTGCCTCTCTTTTATAGCCAACATAAACCTAGACCCAATAGAAGCCTAACTTTTATGGACTCAAGATTATTGCTAATCTTGGACGCTTTTTTTGACATTTATTTTTATCAAATTAGTTTATATTTTATCAAATTGACGACTTTACTTTTAAAATTGAGCAATGATATATTCAATTGTCCTTATTTGGAACAAGATTTAAAATTTAAGGTCAAATGTGTCACAATTAAAAAATCAAGAACTAAAATGATACCAACTCTAAACTATAGGGACTGTTAATGTAATTTATCCTCTACATTTATTATATTTTTTTATATCACATTTAATGTATTATCTCGTTGATACATCATACCTTCATAACACAACTATTAATGTAATGTATGCCACATGAACTCTACTAAAATCTAAAGATAAATGTGGTCTGAAAAGATGATTATTGTAGAATTATTACCTTGTTTGGTTAGTTCTTTAAAACTAAATCAACTTCCTTGGGGTCATCATATAAAGTTTCTACTAATTAATTATATATTCATAACGTATGCAACTCTCTATGATCAATTTCTCTCAGGCTTGGCGGTCTTTCTTTAAATTAAATTATATGGGCCTTTCTCTAATTGAGTTTGGGCATGTTTGATTAATAGGAGTATAGCTTAGGATTGGGATTGATAGTCTATAGACTCACAATCCCATTTGATTTCAAATTTTATTTACAGAATCACGTGTACGACAGATATTCAATATAACGAAATTGATGATTTTTTAATATTGAGAGGGGTAAGGGATCATAATTTCAAGTATAAAAGAAAAAAAGAAGAAGAAATGATTATTGATCATTTTACTATTAATTTATTAATCAAACAAGGCCTTTATAAATTGGAGGTACTCTTTAGTCTTGTGATGCCTAAAATGAGTTTTTTTTTTTCATAAGAAATTAAAGACAAGAGTTCGAAAGTCAAACTACAAACCAGAGGGTTAGTCCCTCTCAAATCTAACACCAGTTACATCATCTACAAGTGAAGCTCTAACTTCATCTAGAGGACTTTCAAGAAATACAACATGTTCTGTTTGTGCAACTCCTATGTTAGCCAGTTGATCAGCAACTCTGTTTCCCTCTCTCAAGGTGTGAACCAGAGAACAGCTACACTTTTTGAGTAAAAACTTGGCATCTTCAATGAGGGCCTTGTATGGTGAATTTTGGTTTGGACCATGAAGAAGCTGATTGATAGCCTGTTCAGAATCTGATTCAATGACTACATCTTTAGTGCCTTTTTGGAAGAGAATAGTGAGCCCTCTGTAAATGCCCCATACCTCAGCCTCTAAGCTGGTGTAATGGCCTAGCTTTCCAAAATAACCCCATATCTAGGTGCCTGTCTCATCTCTCAGCAAACCCCCATAGCCTGCATGGCCTGGGTCTCCCTTTGAGCAACCACTAGTGTTCATTTTTAGTGTACCTGCAGATGGACAATGCCAATGAATTAATCTTGGTTGTGCAGGTTAGGGACAGAGATGGGAATGATAAGCGTCATCAATCTCTTGAACATAGTTGAAGATGTTCTGGAGACTGATGTGAGTTGGGTTTAAAAAATTATCAAAAACCAATTTGTTACGGTCTTTCCAGATTTGCCAAAGAGTGACAATGAAAATTACGGACCGATTTTTACCAAAACAAAGGGATTTATTTTTCAAATTAAGAGTAACCCAATCTTTAAAGGACTGTTCATTCCCTTCTTCCCACCAAGACTGGTTTTGGATGGTAAACTAGATCTCTCTGGAAGTAGTACAGTCTTTATGTAAATGTGCCATATCTTCACTATATTGGCCAAATCTAGGGCATGTATCAGTATCAGCTAAGTGTCTAACAACCCACAATTGATTGGTCAACAAACGAACCTTTAGCACCAACCAAAGAAAGTATTTCAGCTTTTGAGGGATCTTGAGTTTCCAGACCCACTTCTAGTACCTGTTACTCAGCTCAGAATTAGTAATGAAAGTAAAAGCAGAAGCTGTAGTGAAGTTACCAAAAGAAGAGGAAACCCAGGTTGGAGCATCAGTGAATGTAACATATCTGGGCCTATAAACTTTTAGAATCTCATTGAGACCTTGCTGGTTAACAATAGTGGATAGCAAATCAATGTCCCATTTGCCTTCATCATCAAGAATAGAGCTGACCTTGTCAAGAGCATTAGATTGGTAGCAATTGTTTTGTTGCGCTAGTGGTTGTGTGCCACACCACCAGTCATACCAAAGAGAGATGTTTTTTCCATATTTAACAGTCCATTTAATACCCTTCCTAAGGATATCCCTGTTTTTAAAAATACTTCTTTAGCAGTGAGAAGATTTTTTCTTCATGGGCCAAGTGTACAAAGTATGATGATGCAAATATTTAGAATGCAGCACTCTACACCAGAGTTTGTCCTTATCACTAATTATTTTCCAGTCTAGTTTGGTGAGGAGGGTAGTGTTTTGATCCTTAGCCTTCCTGATTCCAAGACCTCCCTCGATTTTGCTTTTACAGACATTATCCCAGTTAACCAAATGCACTTTTTTTTTACTATCAGTGTCATCCCACATAAAATTTTTATTGATTTTGAAAAATTTAAAAATCCGCTAGATATTGATTTGTGATTATGTATCAATTTTAACCAATAAAACAATCCCAATCAAACAATCAAGACAAATCGACACAACGATTTTAACGTGGAAAAACCACAATTGGAGCACATCCAACTGTGATAAAAAAGCCACGGACAACAGCCACAAAACAATCCACTAAGAAGATATAAAGGAATTACACAAGTATACTCTTAACTACCTAACGAATCCATGCCCGAATTGAACCAACCCCTATGTGCCTCTTCCAACCCCGTCTTTACCTTGGAATTGTCTTGACGATGAGCCACCCCAGAATCCACTGAAGAACAACTCTCTCTTATGTATAGAATGAACAAACAAACCTTTGATGTATTCTTCTTAACCCATGAGTTGAATACTCAATTAAACATCAAAGAAAACTAACAAAATATCCCCAGATGTAAACCTTAATATCCCAAAAGAAGATCTGAAGAAGTAATCCTAAAATCTGACAGAAACACATACTTATAGAAATCTGAATCGCGATGCTCGCTCGAGCGAAGACTCTCTCGCTCGAGCGAGGAACCAAAAATGCGTGTTTTCCATAAGTGGCTTCGCTCGAGCCAAACAACCTGCGCTCGAGCGTGAAATCATCTCTGTCAGGTTTTTATACGGACGTAACCTTCGCTCAAGCAAGAACTCCTTCGCTCGAGCGAGCAAGGGCGGACATGCAACTTCGAATCCAATTTTGCATTTTGCTTCGGGGGCGCTGCCCCTTGACCCCGTCTGGACGCTGTCCCGGACCCGCCAAGGGGCACTGCCCTCTGGACCCCCCCGCAAGTTGACCGGGCAGCTCGATCCCCATCATAATCAGCGAAGTGGCAATCTTGAAAGTATTAACACCACAAACTTCTCAGCAAGGCACAATTCGGGTTGGATTCGCATCTAAAACTCATATCCTCACTAAAATACAAGAGCGAATAAAATTACAACTGAAATGAGTTTTGTCAAACGAGATTGCCAAGAATAAAAACCTAACAGATTTTATCAATTTCATCACAAAGTTTTCTAGGAAGCTCCATGGTTTGCATATTGTAGGAGGGAATGACAGAAGTGACAGATTGGATGAGAGTGACTCTTCCAGCCAAGTTAAGGGTTTTAGCTTTCCAACCTGAGAGTCTAGATTTCAATTTCTCAAGAACATCTGTGAACAAGTTCTTATTAACTCTACGATGGAGTTAATCATATATGTTTTTTTAAAAAAAAATAAATAATGCACATACATAATTAAACAAAATGAATAACTAAAATCATTAAAATAAGATCTGTCAGCACTTTCAATTCAGAGAAGTCTCTTCATTGTCTGATGAACAATCACTACAACATATAAGAGTTTTAGAGACCATGTTTTAGTCTCTAAAAGTAAAAAATTTGTTACAAAAGACATTAAGAACCAATTTTTATCGTCTGAGGATAGCCAGTAAAAGGTCGTCCCGAAAAGTCAAAAACAAGGCTTTTAGTGACAAAATTTTGAAAATGTCACTAATAAACAGACCTTTAGGGACAAAATAATTTGGTCTCAAAATAGTTTATTTTTTGAGACAAAAAATTTAGTCCCAAAAGGATAATAATTCAATACTAAAGTCTAATTTTTATTGCTAAAAATATAATGATACTTTTCGTAACAAAAATATTTAATCTTTAAAAAATAACTTTATCCCTAATTCTGATCTCTAAAACCTTATTATTATTATTTTTTTGTAGTGAATAATACATTCCTTAAAATTTTTAATTCAAACTTTGATTGCATTCAAATGATATTTGACTTCTAAAGTACTTTTTAAAATGTTTGATATAATCAAATAATTTAAAGTTATTTAAATCAATTAATTTGAATCCTAATTACCTTTTTGGTTTACACTATTTTTTTGAAAATTAAATTTTTTGTTTTCCTTGATTTCTAATTTTTAGTGAATTTTTTTAAATATTTTACACGATTTTTTTATTTTTTTTATTTTTTTATATTCACCTAATTTATATATACTTAAAAGGTATAACATTTGTGAATTTTTTTTTTTTAAAAAAAATCACCAAATAGAAAAATTTTGAATATTTTTGTATTTTATTGTATTCAATGAAAAATTTTAAAGTTTTTTGTACGAATTTTATACTTTTTGAGTATATCAACATTAAGTGGATCTAAATTTTTTTTAAAAGAAATATTAAAATATTTAAAAAATTACTAAAATGCAAAAATAAAAAAATTGAAAACATAAAAAACTATTTTTAAAAATTCCAAACCAAATAGAGTGAATAGTTTTTAAAAATTCAAAACTATTATTTGGTGAAGGATATTGTAGTAAACTAGAGATTATGTATACAAAAAAATAAAAACAAAATAAAACAATTAATTTGAATTTTTAAGAGCAATGCGTTTAGATACAAACTCTACAAAACGGAATGTTTTAACTAATGAAAATAAAATAAAACTAAGTTCCTGTGGGGATATATCTTCTAAGTACCAACACGTAGTAAGGTGACGTCGACGTGTCAGCCGAGGTACCACGTGTCCTGGTCGTGATGCCGAGGTGATCTCGGCAAGGCCGAGGTTATCTTCGAAGATATCGGAATCCGAGATAAGTGGATAAGGGACAAGAGTCGTAGAATGAAAAGGGAACTTAGCCTGGATGAGGGACAAAAGTCCTAGAATGAGAGAAGACTTTAGTTTGTATTAAGATAAGACTCTTAAAGAGTTTATCCTAATCTTACTGGGAGTCCAAGATTAGCAGTAACCCTGAGATCATAGAAGTTAGGCTTCTATTGGGACTAGGTTTATGTTGGCTATAAAAGAGAGGCACTCCCATGGGTCTAAAGTATGCTTTTGATACTCAAGCTTGTGAGTTTAGCACTTGATTTATCTTTGAGAGATATACTGACTTGATCGTCGGAGTGCCCCCGGGTGGACGAACCACCGCCGGAATCTTCTCTTTCTGTTGCAGGTCAGCCAGGTGCCATCTATTCTGCCAGTGCTCTCCAGCTGGTTACTAAGCGGGCAGTGTGGTCAGAAAATCACTCACACAATTTGGCGCCGTCTGTGGGAAAGAAAGAAGAATAGATGGCCAATGATGGCCAGAAGGATCAGACTGGAGACAACGCTCCTGCTAGAAATGAGAGATCTATCAACCTCGACGTTGAAGGGCACAACCGCAACACAGAAACTCGTGACCAGAGTCACGGAGCGAAAGACGCTGGCCAGGAAGGTGACGCACCAAAGACTACAGATCGAAGCGGATACTACAACGAAGATGACCTCCAGGTATGGAAGGATAGATACCCGCGGAGGAACGAAGACCCTTTCAGAAGGGATGCAAAGACAGGGGGCATGAGCGCTCCCAAGGAGATAACATTCAAGTATAGAAGAAATCATCCTGAGTGAGCAGATCCCGGATTCCAGATCCTGGATCCCGGATCTGAGAAGACATGATCTCAGCCTAGACTAGGGATGGCAATTTAAACCCGGCCCGACGGGGACTCGATCCCCCGACCCCGAAATAAGTGGTTTTTTCCCGAAAAATATCCCCGCGGGGACGGGGATGGTATTAAAAAATAGTCCCCGATCAATTTCGGGCCGGGGACGGGGATAGGCTCCTGAGCCCCGGCCCCGAAATTTCCCCTAAATTTCCCCGCTAATACCTGTGTTAAAAGATCACTCACTAGTTGTATTATAATATATATCTAGTATATCATTATATGTATCTGAGTTCACTCTCTCAAGTCTATCACTCTCTCAACTCTATCACTCACCCTCTCGTTCTTCTCTCTCAACTCTCTCAGTGTTCAAGCCTCGGCTCGACCCCGGCCCCATCCCCGAATTTCCCCAAAATTAAATTACTTTTATACCCCTTATATATATAATAAATCAAACCCTAAACCCGTGCGTCACTCTCCGATCGTCTCCTTCTCTCTCTCTCTCTCTCTCTCTTTCTTCCCTCTGCCGACACCGTTGCCTCTTCCGACGCCCCTACCTCCTTCGTCGACTCGATCTGCCGACGCCGTTGCCTCTGCCGTGGCCGTCGTCCCTCAGTAGCTCTTCACCGCTGCAGATTTGCTCGATCTGCTCGATCTGCAGATTTGCCTCTGCCGTGGCCATCTCTCTCTCAGATCTGTCTTATTCTATCAAATTTTTTTTTTTTTTTTTGTGTAGTTGATCTATTCTCTATTGTTAATAATCTGTTGATGTTGAGATGTTGTTGATTTTTTATTTTTTATTTTTTATGTTGTTGATGTTGTATTTGAGCCCAAATATTCTCTTGATGTTGTTTTTTTGGCCGGGGATTTTCGGGGTCGGGGAAACCCGATCCCCGTTAGGGGGCGGAGGTGGGGGCGGTAGTTAGTTCTTCGTCGGGGATGGGGACGGGGACGAGGGGAAGTTCTGCCATCGGGGATCAGGGACGGGGAAGGTGATCCTCGGCCCCGCCCCGCCCCGTTGCCATTCCTAGCCTAGACAAGTAGGTTCGAGAAGACGAGAGCTCAACCTAAGTGAGCAGATCTCGGATTCCAGATCCCGGATCCTAGAAGACATAATCTCGGCCTAGATGAGTAGGTCCGAGAAGAGAAGAGCTCAACTGAGTGAGCAGATCCAAGATTCTAGCAGACAAGATCTCGGCACTTAAGTCCGAAAAGAGAAGAGCTC